CTGGCACGTCCTCTCTCGTATGCTCCGCCGTCTATTCCCTACGTTGCACGAGAAGCTTCGGCGTACCATGACGATGCCGCGCACGTCGACCCTGCTGCCACCGAACGGCGACCCTGCTGCCGTGCTGACGGGCGAAACGACAAGACGGGTGCCGTATATCTCCTTCAGTGCGCATGTCGGGAGGAACTCCACGTTCCACGACCTGACGGACGAGAATATTGAGGAGCTCGGTGGTGTTGAGTACCGCGCCTTGACTGCGCTCCTGTGGATTGTGCCCCTAGTAGGTATTTACGCTGTGTTCGAACGCATCGTTGACAAGCATTTACCTGCAGTATTACTTCGGATTATTGGCAATGACCTTCATCATCATCGCCCCGTACGCGAATCTAGCGCGGTGGCGGTGGATCTTCCTCGTCCCAGAGCAACACCGTAACATCAATCCAACATGGTATGCCTCTCATACCCCGCTTGCGGTCTCTTGCTCACGGAAGCAACAAGGTTCTCGGCTTTTCAGGTTGTCGGCGCTTGGGCCAACACGGGCATGTCTTTGGTCGACCAAAATATGGTGCCGTTCCGCGAGGCATATCCTATGATCATATTTCTAGTGTTTGATGTGTTGGCAGGAAACACGGGTTTCGTGAGTGATGCTTCTTGTGTACGAACTGTGACTTATGGAACGGTACCTAGCCAATATTGTGAGTACAGCTGCCTCATCAACAGACGACAACATCTAAACGCACTGTGTGTGTTCAGCCTTCGATTCTTGATGTGCGTGGGCAGCTTTGGGATACTTTCGCTTGCTGACGACTGTTCTGTACAGCTGGGTGCTTACCAAGCTGTTACACCGCGACTCTCGCACCAAAGAAGCGTTGCACTTCCTCTTAGACCACCCCCGCCGATGTTTTATATACCTTTTCCCCGCTAACCAAACATGGGTCCTGCTTGTTGTCCAGTCCGCCATAGAGTGAGCATGCCCCTGTCAATCAGCGCATCAGCTTTACTAACAAGTCGACACACCTAGCCTTGTGCTCTGGGTCTTCAACGTCGTCTTGGACCTGGGTAACCCCGCAACTGAGAGCATACCGATTGGCACGCGCCTAATCGACGCATTGCTCCAGGCGGCAGCAGTACGCAGCGCTGGCTTCCAGGCGATCTCGCTGTCGACATCTGTGCCAGCTGTCCAGTATGGTCTTCAGTACATAAGCGAACAACATTCTAATCGTTCCGCACGATAGAGTTCTTGATGTCATCATGATGTATGTTGCTATTTATCCCATCGCTCTCAGGTAAGTCAATATGTCTTTCATCTCCGCGTGGCCTCACCGCCGAATGACTCACCCGTCCTACCTGCAGTGTGCGTGCAACCAACGTGTATGAGGAGACCTCACTGGGGATATACGAGGAAGTCGAGGAGACGACGTATGGTCTGGATGACAGCCCGGATTCCCGGGTAGAGATCTGGGGTAAATACCTGTGGAAACATGCTCGGAGGCAGCTGTCGTTCGATATGTGGTGGCTGGTGCTCTCGTTGTTCCTTATATGTATCATCGAGGTGCGTGTGCAACCGGCATATGAAACCTTGCTCCCCGGAGTTCATACAGTCTTACCTCGATGATCAGCGGACCCCTCTTATGGACACGAGCAAGGCGTCATGGTTCAACATCTTTGCAATAGGTGTGTACACTTTTCAGTCATGAGCGGACGCAATGCTGACAGTATCAACTAGTCTTTGAGCTCGTCTCCGCCTATGGCACCGTCGGCCTCTCGCTCGGCGTCCCCTACGTATGTTCCATCTCACGTCTCTTTCCTACCGCGTCACCGAGAACCGTGCAGGCGAACTTCTCCTTCTGCGGCGCCCTCCACACGCTCTCCAAGCTCATCCTTTGTGCGGTGATGATTCGCGGTCGCCACCGTGGGCTGCCCGTTGCACTCGACCGGGCAGTCTTGCTTCCCCACGAGTTCGAGAAACGAAGGTGCGGTGCAGGAGAGGTACAAGACCCTCCAGCAGAAGAGTTTTCGGAGAAACGTCAGCAGCCGGACGCCGCTGAGGAGAAGCATGGAATCATCGAAGAACCGTCAAACCACAACGTACGGACGCTGAATTTTACAGCCCCGTCCAAGTAATATCCACACAGACAACAGTCATTACATCGGACGTACTTGCAAGCCTCATTTATGACATTAATGAAACATCTCCCGTTTGACCTTACCTATAATAGACTTGTACCTTTATCATCATAGCACTCACGTTCTTCTCATCCGCTGTCGTAGCTTTCCGTGCTGTGTAAACTGTGATTGATGGTTATGGCGTGTGACCAGTTAGGGAGGCGAATTGGAGGATAATTTCAACACTATGCTTAGAGATACAAGCGTATGATAGCTCGATGCAATGAAAGTAGGGACTGCAAACAGCACCGGATGAACGCAACGGTACTGGGTGGCGGAGAATAGGAGTCAAGTAGGTAGGAATACAACCGAGGTGCAGCGTCCAGTCCACATTTCCTCAGCCACTATACGTACGACGCACGGAAAAGGAATGCGCTCTCAAGCGTGACGCGGTATGTGCGCTCACATCGCCGCCATACTCATACCCTGTAGCGTGCCTATCCTCTGAGCGGGCTGGGCTGGCTGATGCATCTGCGGTTGGTTGAGCTGCAGCGTCTGGCTGCCGGGAGCGAAGGCCGGCTGGTTCTTCTCCTCGAGGTCCTGGTAATGCACGGTCATCTCCTTCCGCGCCTTCTCCCAGTTGTCGGGGTCCCAGTAAGAGTAGGTACCGTGCTCGCCGCCATTGACCTTTTGCGAGGGCGCGGTGCCCGTCTCCTTCGTCAACCATACGCGCATTTCCTTGTGGTACCGCCAGTTACGGTTGAACCTACTCATCACATAGGACTGTCAACGCGCGTCAGTCAAAGTGAGGTAGCAGGACATACAGTTCTTGCGCTGCGATCTCTTGGAGCGCGTCTCGCGGAGAAGAGTAGAACATGAAGAAGAGCGTCTCGTCGCTGAACGCTTGCGCCTTGGCAGGACCTGGTGGGGGTGGCTGCACGTTGTAACATGCGGGTAGGTGGAAGTCAGGCTCTACTGTATGCGCTGCAGACGAGTCCGCCCACGGTGTGATGAACGCGGAGTAGAGGCTTCTAGACCAAAACACTTAAGACAAGGTCGCTATCAGAGCCACTGCAGACGCACCCTTGTGTCTGCATGTCCAGCCCCATTGTCCCCAAGTCTGTCCCAATGGAGAGCAGAGTCTGATCCGGATCTGCACTCTTGATCATCGCCAGAAGACCTAGCAACCCCCACCGATCTGCAGGTGACATGAGAACTTGTTGCGCCGGTGTTTGCGGTACTGCACTGGTTGCATGGCCTGGCCCTTGCGATGGGTGATGCGCGGTGTCGCCACCCGTGGTGCCGTTGCCCACGTACGGTGTTTGTTGTGCCGCAAGCGCTTGTGCCGTATGTGGCAGTTGCTGTGAGAAGGTACCAGGCGGTGGCACACCAGGAGGGGCGTTCAATAATTGCTGCGTCTGCGTTGTGTGGTTTTGATGAGAACCATTCGGCGCGTTGGTTGTCAACGATACCGTCTGCTGTGCGCTAGGATTCGCATTAGGCGAATTCCATGCTGCAGCGGCCGCAGCGTGGTTTGTCTGGTTGAGCTTCAGTGCATACTTTACGAAAGCGTCAGCTGTGCCACAGTAAATACATGCTTCCAAACGCACCCGCTGCTTCTCTGCATCAGACTGGGACTGGAACCCTGGATGTACTCCCCTCGCTTGAACCCCTAAGTTGAGCACGCCTGGCTGCTGCTGGCCACTCCCGAGCGACGGCGTCTGACCACCAACAGTTAATGAGCCCAATAGGTTCTGTCGATGCTGCTGGTCTGCTTGCTGGAACCCGTTGAGTCCGGGTGGGTGGCTGTCAGCTGTATGCGGCTGCGTTTGTGGCTGAGGAGCTGTTTGACTCTGGCCACCTAGTGCCGGGAAGTCGTCGGGTCCAAAGTTCCGGTCCTGGGTACCTCCTATGCTCACTGCTGCCTGTGCACCACTCGACCCTGCACCCATCACACCCGTCCCCGCCTGGCTCGCATAGCTAGTCGCGTTTGTACTTGACGCCGCGTTCGAGTTTGTGGCTGGTGTTGACCCGAGCGCGGGGAAATCGTTGGGATCGAGCCCTACTTCGCTGGCGGACGATACAGACGGTGCGGTGCCTAAGCTTGGCGTGGCCGAATGCGCTAAGTGAGGCGGAAGTGTAGAGGTCGCGCTGGACGGCTGTGACTGCTGTTGTATAGGTGTGTGTAGTGCGGTTGAGCCCGTATGTTGCGACAGCGATTGCTGGAGGCCGCCAGACGCAAAACTAAAGTTGTTTTGCCCGCGCTGCTGGAAGAGGTTCGGCGACGGCTGGGGGACAATATTCGGCACTGCTCTGTGGCTCTGCAGTGCTGGGTAGCCAGGCATGACATTCCGAGGTGGTAACCCATAGCCTGGATACGGACCGCGGTAGGCAAGTGCGGGATTGGGCGCGAGACTTGGTGGCCGTTGCGGTGGTTGACCTGCACGCGACGTGAACATCTCAACAGGCTCTTGCGAGTGCCAGCGGTTACCTGGACGGTTCATAGCTTTTGCTGCTGCGAGAAAGCGGATGCTGTAGAGGTGGTCGAGGAAGATGGCGCACGAGATGATCGTTCAGAGCCGCTCGCTGTCTCGAGCAGTGGCGGGAAACAGCCTCCAATTACGCGGCTTATTCGTGCAGATAACCACTGCTATGTCCATATATGGTCACAATGCAAGTACATTCAAGGCATTTTTATCATCAACACGTAGAGTCGCGATACAACATGGATGATGCAGGGTCTGAAATCCCCCTTGAGTCACCAGAGAAATCAGACTGCGTAGCACGGTGTAGAAACGAGTCAGGGCAACCTGAAAAGCCAGGTTGACTTGCGCATGCAGAGTATGAAGGGCCGATGAGTGGCTGGGGTCGAGTCGTATCAGCCGCCATTTGTCGGCTCTGTAGTGTAGCGGTTATCACGGCGGATTCTGATTCACGTGTGTCGTCGAGCATTCCGTCAACCCAGGTTCGAGCCCTGGCAGGGCCTTTTTGCTGGCCACAGCTGGTGCATGCCCTTCTGCTTGTTATGTACTGAGTTGGCATTGTTGGTCACCACATATTCGATGACCGGGGGCTCGATTGACCAACCTCCTCCTCTTCTCATCCCGCCACTTACAAGCTCATTTATCCTCCCATGTACCATCGGCCGCTGCGCAGGCCCGGAGCCGTACGTTGAATGAACTCTCGCAATACCCGTACTAACAGGACACTGGCAGCCCGAGGTGGTGACCTCTCCGTCAAATCCTAGCATGAGCCTTTTCACCACATTGAACCTGGACGTCCTCGATCACATCCTCTCTTTTACCGAAATATATGACACGCTTATGCTGTCGTTTACGTGCCGCGATGGACAGCGGATTGCGACGCGGCGATTCCTGGGGAGTGTCACATTCCCACTGCCCTGGCTCTGGCTTCCCGGAGCGAAGCGCAGCTTGAAGGCGTCCTGGGAACTGTACGACTCATTCACCGCATACATGTTGGCGCCTGGGACGCACCGCCTCGAATACCTCAAAGACCTCACCTTCAACAATGACGCGTTCCGCACCGGGTTCGCAGGCAGTCTGCTAGAGAGTTTCACAGAGTCTCACTGCGGCTTCACGCTTGCGGTCCCGCTGGCCGATGTCGTGCGGGGCGCAACCGGTTTGCGGAGGCTTTGTATCGGGAACGCCGAGTCCGTCTTTGAGGCTGCGTCGCAGCTTGTGAATGCCATAGCATGCGACTTGAGGAAGTCTGCTTTCGTGACGCAGACGTCATCACGCTTGCCCTCTTGTCCACGATTCAAAGCCGCCCTCGAAAAGTCGAGATCTACCTCAAAGAATGTAGGAACCCGGAGACGCACGAGCGGCGGTGGGGACAGTACACTGCTGGCGATGACCGCTTTTTACACAACTTCGCCGAATGCTTGGAGACGCTGCATCTAGGCGAGGGGTTTGGCATCATACAGACACTCGAGCCCCGCACCGTCTGGCCCGCTGTTCGTGAGCTTAAGCTCCCCCGTAGTCTAGGATGGCCAAAGGATATTCCAGATCTCCACGTCATGTCTCATGCATTCTCTAACCTTCGCCATCTACACGTCGACGAATTTGTGAACTCTGCAGTTCACGATCTGGACCGTGACGGCCGTTTGAACATGCTCGACTCAGTTTACTCGGGGAACCCTATTCCACTGCATCATCCAATACGTCACCTGAACATGGGCAATTGGGGGCTCAACGCGGAAGGCATGCTTGACACGACTGCTACTATCCTGCGCAATACTCTTCCCGTCATAGTCGAATGCATTGCCAGCAAAGCACTATATGAGTGCTTGGCTGAACATTCTCCATCAATGCGGTTCCTTCGGATCCACTACGCTCCATATATTGGATTTGATCCTCTATTTGCTCATGGTCAGGCCGATAGAACTTCTCTAGCCATTTTTGTAGGTGTGCCTCGAATATGCTAGTACGGCTGTCACTGATGAATAATGGTAGACTGACGAACTCTCATGCCTTCAAGCGCTGCCTCTCAAAGCGATCGAGGTGCATTTCAGACCCGATCATCCGTGGTGTCGCAAACCTGAGGACGCCGTCTCCAAGACATCCCTTTGGGAGCAGCACGCTGGCGTTATCGCCAGATGCATCCCTCGCTGGAGTACGTAGGCGTGCGCCAGGAATTGAGCTACGGCTATGCGCCAGCGGGATCGCCGTTAGGCCCAGAGAACGAGTATAGGCCGTACGAATGGTACGAAGTCACAAGGAGAGGTGGGCAAGGTGCGATCGCGGAGAGGCTCTCAGACGGGAGAGCGAGTGTCGTACATTCCACACTCCTCAGGTTGTCCAGGGACGATATCATCGAGTAAACAATGCCCTGGTGTCCAAGAAGGGACCAGGCCTAACGACTTCATGTGGCTCATACACGGGCAATCTAGATCATGTAGCACAAATTTAAACAACCAACGTTGTAATCGACAAGTCTGCAGTGCAATATCGATTTACGATATGGAGAATGAGCGCATAGCCAAGTGTCCCTGTGCGACCGACATTCGACATCGATGATTTGGAACACAAGCTTGACGCATGCTGGCGCCTTCAGCCACATTGAAGCCGGGTAGTAACAGTCGTCCGTTGCTCTGGGATTACTCCACTGCCAGCAGCAAACGCGTGTCCCTCTTGTTCACGACAACAAAAAGGCTCTCAGTCAGTATCTCAATAAAACTGTGCGGGGTTTGGTGTGGAGCAGCAGGGATTAAAAATTCCACTTCTGAAGGCCCTGCCAGGGCTCGAACCTGGGTTGACGGAACATCAATGAATCAGAATCCGCCGTGATAACCGCTACACTACAGAGCCCATAGTATCTTAGCCCTTACTCGTCACCCCATACATCAGCGACTTCCTTCTCCTCTATCTGCGGTGGGGAAAGTCAAGACTCGGCATCTTCGGGTTGACCAACAACCAGTTTCTGCGCAATGCCGCGCTGACGCCCTTATTGCTCTGGTGACCAAACAAGCTGAGCAGCATGGAGGTGTGTTTGTTCTTCCACAAAGCGTCAAGAGGGCTCACACTTCGCGTAGGTTCTCGACAAACGCTCCGCCCTACTTTCTAACTTCGAGGTCTTGTCCCTCCTTAGAGAGCTCGAGAGTGACCACCTAGCTCGTACCAAGACCGCACTACGCATCAAGAAGGAAGAAGAGGCCGCCGGTAACCTTGCCACACGGATCCAGCCCCCGGACGACATCTGCGAGAACCTGAGGACCATTGAAGTGGAGGCCATCCAGTACCTCTCGGCAGACTATCAGCCCACCGTGTTTCAGACTGAGGCCGGGGTCGTGCAACTTACGAAGAACCTCGCGGCGTATGACCTCACCAAGGCGGAGAAACTACAGGTCGTCAACCTTGCGCCGACCGAGGCAGTAGAACTCTACGTTGTATGTAATCAATGGATACATGCGACCGCGTCTAAATGGAAGAGATGTGTAGATCGTGGAGGAACTGGAGGACCGTCTTGGGCTTCAGATGGACGACATTCTTGAGACCGTCAGGTCAGTGTCAGCTCCGGCGATCCCACTCACAAATGGCACGCCAAGTGGTGCAGGGGCAAGTACAGCCGGTGGTGCAGAATTTGTATACACGGAAGACATGGAGATGCAGGAATACATTGAAGAGGACGGCACATGGGAGTATGACGCAAACGAGATCGTGTTCGACGACACCGGCGAGGGGGCCGGCGTGGAAGGAGACCTAGACGTTGACGAGACCTGACGCCCATGAGATGTAGTGCATGCCGATATAGAGGATGAAATCATTACGATGCAGCAACTGAATATCAACGTTCAACTAGGCAAACACTTCACCTCCAGTGCAAAGAAATCAGCGAATATCCGCGAGGACAATGGTGAGCATGTTGTTGATCAACGGCAAGCAAGCACTAATGGTGTAATTCTATGCCGTAGCTGTAATGCATATGTCCTAGTCGGAACAGCACACTTCCATTGAACATAGTCGTCGTGGCGCCGCTCCAGCGGCTCCGATGGCTAGTGTACTTGTCTTGAAGCTCAGGAAGAAACCAACCTCACCTGCTGACTACCACCATTGATTAAACAGTGACATACTTGAATCATTAAGTCAATACGTACGACGCGTATTTTTCTCGTCGGACGCGCAACATAGGAACTCAAGTCGTCGGGTGTGATTCCCGCGCATCATCTGTGGGTGTGATGATATAAGGGATTCTCGGGACAGAGCTCATCCAGTACAACTTGAAGCATGTCAGACACCCTCCGACTCGAGGCCAACTCCCTCTACATCTGCCTCACTCAGCTCCTTATCCCCGGCTTCCACTAGGGCCTCTACTTCAGCGACGATCGTGGTGTCGCCACACGCCACGAGTGGGCCGAAGTCCGGGGTGGCAGCGACTTCACGCAGCCCATCGAGGCATACCAAATAATGCACATCGACCCTATCACGGTCGACGACATCGAAAACCATTGAACCTCGCGTTTGCTAAGGTCTCCGGCTACTCGCCCCCGCCCCCACAGTACGACGTGCAGGCGCGGTTCGCGGGCATCGAGCCCGGCGGTAGCTACAGCGACGTCTGTCGCAACAGGAGGAGCGGCCTTAGCTGCGGGACGTGATGCGTGCGCTTGCATTCCTCCAGGAGGATGGGATCATCGGCGAGACACACCGGTGACAGACCTCGAGGACGTAGTCAAGAGCTTGGGTGCAGTTAGAGACGTCTTGTCGATGGGGAGGATCTGGGCACGCAGATCAGGGATGTCTAATCGAGAGCCATACAGCTTGCTCACAAGAATCTCAGGCTATAGATACTGCTACTGTATGTCGGAAATAACCCTCGGACCCACAACACCGAGCACTGAGCTATGAGCAACTTCGCGCATCCATTAGTCTTAGTCTGCTGTATACGATATGTTTGAAGATATTGAGATCGGGCGCGAGCATAGAATGGACTTTGACAACAGACACCGCCGGGATGGAGCGCATGTCAACACAGAGAAGTCAACTATTACGATGTAGAGACTATACAACAACGGCATTACTTGCGTTCAGCTAGGTAACCAGAGTTCAAGGCGGCCCGAGTCCTAGTGCAGATACACTAACCCAGAGCAGCCAGGGCAATGAGTGTGACAACAGAAAGAGCGACGAGATGATACAGCGCAGGAGCGATTCTAGTTCAGAGGACGAGAGGATGAGGGAGACCACCGAGGGGATAGGGCACCACGGTGCGGCGACGGCATCGTCAGACATGACGGGGGACAAACACAGCTACAAGGACGATGAAAGGTATGTACGTGAGGAAGGCAATCCCAGACATGATGCGGCACCGATTGCGCCATGTCCTGGCGTCTGCAGACCGCGAATTTGAGACACAGCCAGAAGTCCAGAACCTAACCACGCACCGTGCTCGACCTGCGGATCATCCAGCGTAACTGCCTTCTCCGCATCCGTATCCCCAACGCGTCGCGTCCGCGGGATTGGCCAGAAGGCCGCGAGCCACCACAAAGGAAAGAGAATGAAGCCCGCAAAAAATGCCCATGCATGTAGCGGCGACGCGTCCTCATCCTCCGAGCGCAGGTGCAGGGCCCATTCCGTGGCATGGATCTTCGGTGGTTTTCGCGGGTCCTGCATGTGGTACTGACTCGATCGCGCGATGGACGGCGCGCGGGGCATGACGAGGGCACTGAAAGGAATAGACCGCTCCGAGGCGTCGATGCTCCGTCTGCTGACGTACGAATCTGGCCGCCGCCCCGACATCACGGACGGCGCGCGCGACGCTCTCGAGTTGGTGCGGAAGAGGTTTTGCGCCGAGCGTCGCGACCAGGACGTGTTGTAGTCCGGTGTTGGTTGATGGGAGGATGTAGGGCGCGAGCGTGCGGGGGATCCTTGTGGTGTCGAAGTAGATAGTCGTGCGCGTTTTCGGTGATATGAAGATGGGGCACCGGACACTTCAGAGCTGCGATGGGAACCTACGCAAAAGTGAGAATGATATGCAGAAAAACTTCCTAATCACAACGCACGACGAGCTTCAGAAGGGATCACAAAAGTCGCGTGGTGTCCTGTCTTTTGGTCTGGCGGTGTGATGTCGAGCTCTTCTGCCTTTCGCTTCCCCTTAGCATTGATAGGCGTCTCCGGAACGGAGTTCAGGGTAGGTTCGGTGCCCGACCGCGGTGTGCGCAAAGCAGATTTAGTTCTGGTCGACGGTGTGGTGGGTGCGGCGGATGAGGAGGATGAAGAGCTTGATTCTTGTGGTCGTAAATAAGAGGGGACAGGTGACGGGTTGCTTCTATGATAAGCACGCTTGCTGTGCCTGCTGCCTATTCTCTCAGCATGATCAGAAGCACTGCGTTTCAGCGTGTCTGTCGCGGATCCGTTCCTCGGCAGTTGGAGATGAGTGTTGCTCGAGTGTAGGGTGTCCATAGATCGCAAGGGGTCGTGACTGCCAGGGCCTTCAGCCGCTGCGTGATAGGGATTAGCACTTCACAGGTTTTGACATCTTGCTCCACGCACCTTCCTGCGCGGGGGACGACTGAAGATTAGGAGAAGTGGGTATAAGGCGAGGAGAACATGAGGTATCGCGTTGCGTTCGCGCCCGGATACCACGAGGTTCGGCATCCCCCGACCGGTGCTGGAGACGCTCAGTCCGATCGGTCTCCCCGGTCTCCTCACTACGCCTCCGGCTGGTCTCTCGGCTAAGGGGCCGCCTGGCTCTTGTACTACTGTTGAAGTCAGAAGCACGAAAGTCGGATGGTAGGAGGGCGTTTTGCGTAACGCTTGCCGTAATCCATTCCGTACTGGCACGTCCCTTGAGTGAGCTAGTTGAGCCGCGCCACAATCTGTCGACGGATGCAATGCGGAAGAGTCTTTGGACTCGAGGGTGACTTGCGCTGTTGAGCCTACGAAGCTTCGGTAATGTCAATGCAGGGGTAGATGCTGCTGTGCGAATATCACTGGTCGTCTTGCCACGATGCCGGCGAGGGTAGGTACTGGAATGGATTGCAAGTGCGTGTTGGGTGTTGCCGAACGTATTAGAAACATCGAATTGCGAACGCGAAGACAAAGATGAGAGTAGTTCCGGATGCCGCAAAGGTGGAAGCGGAGGAGGCGACACTGACTCAAATCGCGACGTATTTCCAGCCGTGGGTGAAGGTATGCCAAAGGTATAGGGAGATCCAAAAGCCGGCTCTGAAGGTGTCGCGGGTGCAGAGTGACGCAGAGAATGAGACCGAGAGCGCGTCGAACGAGAGCGAGACACAGAGCGCGGTCGGGAATGGGAACGAGAACGAGAATGCGAAGTGCGTGAGGAATGCAAGCGAGGAAGATTATTGAGAGCGGTATCTAATTGTTGTACGTCATATTCGTTTAGGTCGTGATAGTCGTCATGTTTCGTGGGTGGAGTAAACCGCGAGGCAGCAAGTCGTCTATCGGACGATACCCTTGAAGGGCCATGATGCAGGGATGTGGACGAGTGGTTGTTAGACTGCGTATGTCTCTTGGTACTTGATGAGCGACGTAGTGCCACGGACACGGACTCCGTGCTGCCAACGTAATTGTTCCACGCAGACGGAGGAACCGATATCCCATTTCCAGGAACATCTATGTCCGTGTTCTTTCCAAATGTAGCCCACGTTGATACGGACGCCATCTGGCGGGAGAAACGAGAGAGCACACGTCTGCGACGGGGCGTGTTTCCGGGTGAAGATTCGGGCGTCATAGATGAAGTCGAACTGGTGGCTGTATGCGCGCTTGACGGATCCTTGGACAGTGCAGGCTGTGGCCCATAGTTGCATGAGCTCGTTAGGGGACCTTGTGACTGCGTGGCGCCTGGTTGGTCC